CACACACACACACACAAAAACACACACACACACACACACACAAAAACACACACACACACACACACACAGAGGCTCCATCGCTTACTCAAAGCAAAAACGCCCAACGAGGTTTTAAAATGTCCCTCTACAGAGAAGCCCCCACCCCCAATCCATTCCCTCTGGAGGGCCAGCCTTGGCCCCGTTGGGCGGGGAGGGGAGAGACTCCTGCCCCTCAAATAGGGGTGGGCAGGATAGGGATGCCCCCTACCTATTTCCGGGACCGAGAGGGCCACCGTCATGGCGACGCAGACGAAGAAGGCGGGCAGTAGGATCTGGGAGAAGATGGCCTTGCTGTTGCGCTTGGCACAATGGAAGCGCTTGACCAGTAGCCCGTGAAACTGGCGCAGCTTCAGCCAGGAGCCCTCCAGCTTGGCGCTGCTTTGTCCGGTCAGGGACGCCTCTTCCGGGTCAGCATCTGGCTCTGCAGGAAGAGGAGACACAATGGACGCTAGGAGGAAAAGGACCCCTGCCTCAGTTTCCCCTTCTTTCTTCTGCCAAACGCCCGAGCACCGCGCGCCCTTCCACCCTTAACCCGTTGAACACCCAGCTTTCCTGCTGTGAAAAGGCAGCCGTTGGGAAGCTTCTGGGGAACCAGGGGGGCTCCTTCCCCTCCCCTGCACCCCTCAGACTTTCCCCGTGCTACAAACCTAGCAGGCTGCCATTATCGGGGTCTTGTGGGTTGTCAAACAGGGGGCAGTAATCCCCGTAGAACTCAGAATAAGCCCCACCTTCCTCGCCACGCACGGAACCAGCCAAGGAGGAGGAAGAGGAGGAGGAGGAGTGCAAGGATGCCTGGGACTTGGCCAGGTCTGAGCAATCCAGGAGGTTCCCCAGGTCCACTTCGGGCTTGGTGGGCCTTGCCGGCCTCGGGAGTGGGTGGCCGTTGGTCTGGGGCTTGGGGCCGAGGCGGGGACTGGGCAGCGGGAAAGCGTCTTTCTTGGACTCCTTGATATCTGCAAGGGTGGGCAGAGGTGAGAACGGCTGCCGAGGGCCGCAGAAGACTGCCCCCCCCCCCCGGGCAAGGGAGGCCGGACCGTAACCCTGCAGCGTACCCGCATCGCTGTTCTCCAGAGACTGGTCTTCTTCCGAGACCTTCAGGAAGACCTCTTCCAGGGTGGTGTCCATCAGGCCAAAGCTGGTGAGGTCCAGCTCTTCCAACCTGTGCTCCAGGTGCTGCAGAAGGGAGCAGGGGAGGGGGGGTGTTAGGGGGAGGCCCCACTGCATCACCTCCACTCGGGGGGTCGGTCTCCGAGAAGGCCCTGCAGCCCTCTTCTCTGGAATGTCTCCATGCAGACCGTGCCTCGGTCAGTGACGGTCCTTCCAGGGTGGATGAAAGGAAGTTCTCTGCTCCACTTCCTGCAGATTTGTGGCTTTAAATCAGTTTTCCCAATTCCAGGAGGAGGAGGAGGGGGCTATCAGTGGATATTGACGCTGAGCTTCCAGGCTCAGGAGCAGACCTCCTCTGCAACCACAAGGGGCCGCTGTTCTCTGCCAATGACGGCATCCTCCATAGTTGTGCCCCAATGTGAGATTTGAACGGGTTTACAAATCCCCTGGAGGCAGAACAGGGACATCTAGGATGGCAAGGAGCCCCCCCCCCCCCCCCGCTTCAAGAGGACTAGCTTCTTGAGAAGAAGAGAGGCCCAGAGATCACCATCTCTGGGTCTCTCTTGCTTTAAAGGACTTTTGATGTGTTTCCACCTCCCCCATGCCCCCCAGGAAAGGAAGAAGCCCTGGGCTCAAGATCCAAGGCAGCCCTCCCACCGCCCGCCCGTGAGACCCCCGTGCCCACCTGGAAGAGCCGTTCGAAGCAGCCTTTTTTGGCAGCCTCGCTGGGCAGGATGTAGGAGAGCTCCGTGTTGGTGTTGGAGATGAGGAGGCAGGAGGCCACGTGCTTCTTGATGAACTGGCTCACCCGCTCTTCGGAGCAGGGGCTGGTGGCTGAGGGGCAGGGTGGGCTGCGGGGGAGCCCCGTCTCTGGGGAGGGAGGGAGGGGAGAGTTAGCCAGGCCAAAGGAAAAGGGGGGGGGAGGAGGCTTTTCCACGTGGTTCAGGATTTGGAGCATGACCACCAGAAGGGCTACAGAATTGGGGGATTTCAAAAGAAAGTCTTGGAAAGGAGAGGCAGAGAGAAGAGGAAAGAGATGGGTCTGCAAAGGGCCCGGGGGCGATTTGAACCTCCCTGTTCCCAGGAAGTCTACCAGAAGCACGAAAGGCCAAGGGCGCAAGAGGACTGAGGCAGAGTGCCCAGCGCAAAGCCCGAGGATTCCACCCTGCCCGGGAGACAGGAGGAGGGCTGGTGGGGCCACTGACCGGGGTTGCTCCGGGCGTCCGACTGCTTCTTCACCACCGTCAGCTTGTAGCCGTCCCCGTAAGTGCTTTTCAGGAAGAGGGGCGACCCACAGCACTTCAGCTTCCCGTGGGAGATGATGGCGATGCGATCGCCCAGCAGGTCTGCTTCGTCCATGTGGTGGGTAGAGAGGAGGATGGTCCTACCTGAGAGGGGGGGAGAGAAAAGGAGGAGGTGGGCCAGGAGGGGGGTTGGAAGACCCTCCCCCCCGACTCCCCCCAAAAAGGGCCCCGCAGACCCACCTTGCTTGTACTTCAGGATGAGGTCCCAGATGGCCCGGCGCGCATAGGGGTCCACGCCGGCGGTGGGCTCGTCCAGGATGACGGCCCGTGAGCCCCCCACGAAGGCGATGGCCACTGAGAGCTTCCTCTTCATCCCTCCAGACAGCATCTGCACCAGGAAGTGGCACTTGTGGGTCAGCTCCAGGTCCTCGATCATCCTGTGGGGAGCAAAGCAAGGGAAGGGGGGCGTCACTTTGGGGGCCCCTCAGGGGAGACTCGCCTGGATCTGCTGGAGGGGAGGATTCTCGGTCTAAGCCCCACGCTCCCGCTGCCTGAGAGGCTGGACGGAGCAGGAGGAAAGGGGGCAGCAGGCCTGCTCCTACTGGCTGGGGAGCATGGGAGCTGGGAGTGCTGGGGGAGGGTGGGGGGGCCACCCACTTGGCCATCTCCTTGCAGATCTCCTCCTTCGCCATGCCCTTCAGCTGTGAGTAGAACCAAAGGTGCTCCTCCACTGTCAGCTTGTCAAAGAGGACGTTGTGCTGCGGGCACATCCCCAGGTTCTTCCGGATCTGGTCCATCTCCGTCCGGATGTCATGGCCGTAAATGGTGGCCGAGCCGGAGGTCGGAGGGAAGAGGCCGGTCAGGATGGACCTGCGGGGGAGGAAGCGGCACAGGGATGGGGTCAGGTGGAGCTACACCCCCCCCACCGTCCCCTGCCCGCCTCCCCCCTGCACCCTGCAACGCTCACATGGTGGTGGTCTTGCCCGCACCGTTGTGGCCCAGAAAGGAGACCACCTGGTTCTCGTAGAGGTTAAGGCTGAGCTTGTTCAGGGCCAGCTTTTTGTCGGTCTTGTAGATCTTGGTCAGTTTGTCCACGCAGACCACCAGGGGCAGGTGGGTGGGCTCCTCCTCAATGCCCCGGCTCTCCTCTGCAGCGGTCAACAAAGGGCAGAGAACACGGGGGTCTGAGGAAAAAGCACCTCTGGACCTCTCTGGCCAGGTGTGCTGTTGAGAGTCTCCAAAGCTCGGGCAAAGGGGCCCTTTTTTCCACCATGCCCCGCGTTGGCCCTGCTCCCCCGCCCCCTTACCCATCCTCCTGTTCTCCATGGCACAGGCTTGGTCTTCCTCCGTGACGCTCAGGTGGGGCCGCTTCGACCAGGGCCAGGACCAGTCCCAGGTCTCCGTGCGCCCGTTTCCCAGCCAGTAGGACTTCTGCAGCGGAAAGTACCAAGGCCGCGGGAGCCCGTACATCCCTGGGGAAGAAGCGCCGGTTGGCACAGCAGGAGCCCTGGAGGGTCCCAGGGTGGCAGCTGCAGTCAGCAAGACCCCCACCCCGGGATCCCCCAAACCCATACCTGGGTGCACGGCTTCGATATACCACGTCAGCACCCCATAGACCACGGCGTCCACGATCAGCATCATCATGGAAAGCAGGAGGTTGAAGTCGTCCCCTTCCACGGGGGACTGGCTGAAGGTGTGCCACTGGATGCCCACGCCGGACATTTCGTAGAGGGCAAAGTACTTGGAGCCCAGCCCGAAGGCCGTGGTGGACATCAGGGACTGGGGAGAAATGGAGAGGGGGGAAAATTCCTCAAAGGGCTGAGAAAAATGCCTTGCTGTGCCAGGCCGATGCCCAACTCAGGCCCCACAGAACCTCCAGCTGGAGGAGGTTGCCCACCCCCCTACAGAGACAGATCACCCCAAGGCTCCTGCTGCCCCCCCAAGTGCCAGGAGCCCCAACGGCGTCTCTCCCGGGGACTCACAGCGATGCACTTCTCGAAGGCGGTGATCTTGTCGTGGGCCACCTCCTCCCGGATGGCCACATACATGTAGGGGACGTAGCTGAGGAAGTAGATGATCCCACCGCAGGCCGAGGCAAGCTTGGCCTTGGAATACAGCACGGACACCAGGAAGCTGTGGGGAGATAGGGGGAGGGGTCAGTGACCGGCAGCAGTTCTATGGATGGGGGGGGGGGGGGAAATCGGCTTAGCTAAGCAGGCTTCCCAAGCCCATCATCCTCAGCCGGGGTCTACTTTGAGGGAGCCCCACGTTCTGCTCAGCAAGGCATCTCCACGGGAGGCAAGGGACCGGATCTCCTACTTTTGCAAAGCCCCACAATGTAGGCCAGAGGAGGGTCAAGGTTCAACCAGGCCATCCTCCCCTCCGCTGGCCCTCACCAGAACATGATGGTGGCCACGGCGTAGACGGACAGGAAGAGCCAGATGATGAGCACGTCGCTATGCATGAGGACCTTCCCGTACTTGAGAATGGCGGTCAGGGCAGTGACCGAGATGGACAGCTGGACGAAGCCTGTGATGAACCAGGCCACCCAGTGGACGGCATTATTCAGCCCCATCATCTTCATCACCTGCCGGGCACAGGCAAAGCGTCAGCCCCAGGGGGAAGGGCCCCTCGGCAGCTCCCAGGCCCAAAACCTTCATAAATTGCTGCAGTTCTGAAACTCTGAGCCTTCCGCCTTCGGATGGAGGGGAATCCAGCCATCCTTCTGAGGCAAAATTGCTGCGGCCAGGAGAGCTTCTGGCGAGGGCCTCTCCCTGCCCGCCTGCCAGCCTGGACGGAATCTCTCCCTGCAGCTGGCACCTCTGCCAACTCCCTTGGCAGGGACGCCGCCACCCACCCGAAGGCAGGCTGTGTGGCTGGCTGGCTCTCTGCCCTGGCACTTCATCATGATCTCATTAAGCAGGGCGGCTGAGGGACACAGCCACGCCGGCGGGAATGGGAAGGGAAGGCCTCCTGGCACAGAGGCAAGGAAGGAGCTCTGCAGGGAAGCGCCACAGGAGGGAGGGCGCCGGCTTGGGAAGAGCCATGGCTGAAAAGACGAGGGGGCAGCTGGAGGGACCCCCCCCTCTGGGAGCATGTCCAGCTCCAGTTCCAGGAGGAGGTTTCGCGCCCCCCCCCCCAGCCCTTCACAGCACCCATTTCGTTACTCTGCCACCTGCACCCAGGGAGGCCTGCAGGGTCCTGGTTGAAGCCTCCCATTCTGGGTGAGGTGTCGCAGCTGCGGCAGCCCCCAGCTCAGCCCCCCTGGCTTTTCAGCAAAGCTTCCCACCCCCCTGGACTGTTTCCCCACTCTCCTTCTTCCTTTCCTGCCTCGGAATGTCCCCCTGGCCTTGGGAAGCATCCCCTCCCGTCCCACCTCCTTCAGATGATGCTCCTTCTCTGCTACGATGTGCTGGATCATCATGGCCACCGAATAGACCCAGGAGATGACCATGCAGAGTGGCATCATGTGCTCGATCACGAAGAGGAAGCTGGAGGAGGGGAAAAGGGAAGCCTCGTCCACAGTCCAGGAAGCCCCCATCCGTCCCCAGGAGGAGGGGTCCGAGTGAGTCGGGGGCCAGGCCGACAGCAGCACAGACCTTCTCCTTGGCCTTCAGAGAGGACCTGTTCCCCCAGGGAGCACCGCCCCCCCAAGACAGAGACGGGGACTCACTCGTCACGGGTGTAACAGGGGTAGGGAAACATCTGCACGTAGTTGCCAGGCTCCACCACATCGCGGCCGACAAAGGTGTTGACAATGGCGCGTTCCATCATGTCTTTGGGAAGAGAGAAGCACTTAGGTTTATGCCGAAGGTGCTCAGGGCATGGATCCCTGCGTTTGGGAAGGTCAGCCCTGGGGCCTCCAGAGGTGACTGGCCTTTTCACCGCATGGACAATAAAGCGAAGGGTCAGGAAGTGTTACTGATGTATGCCCTCAATTAACCTGCAGTCATTGGGACGGGAAAAGGGAGCATCGATTCATCTTCTGAGAAAGCCAGGTAGGGCTCACCTTGGATCCAGACAAAGCCATAAAGGAAGTAGAAACGCCCCCCGTGGTTTGGCCCGGGTCTCCAATACGCCCGCCGGATCTCATTAGTCTTTTCAGTGAAGCTGGAATTTTGGCGGATCTTGTACATGACGTGGGGAGGGAGGCTGCCATCCTTGTTGGTTTGGAAGATCACACCTTTGGGAGAAAAAAAAAAGACAGAAAATGGTCCATAAGGGAGGCGAAAAAAGTGCCAGCACACCTGGCTCAAAGTAAGTCAGGTGCTGACCTGGGAGGTTGCATTCAACCATCTAAAATAATAGGTGGCCTCTAGAGTAAATGTCCTCATAAATCAATATTTCTATCTCTCTACAGTCCCCATTAGCCTTGTACTCAGAAAAGGCTCTTACATACATCGTTGTGCAACCAGGGAGTCAACACACCAGTGTTTCCCAACCTTGTCATCTTGTAAGGCATGTGCACTTCAACTCCCAGAATTCCCATCCAGCAGGCTCATCCTCCCAGAATTCTGGGAGTTGACACCTACACACCTTATACTTGACCAGGTTGACAAACAGCAAATTATGCAATAAAATGAGTTTGGAGCTGTCCACAGTGCTGAAGCCATTGGCACCACCGTTCCCTTCCATAATGGGAGTTGTGGTCCAAAATAGAAGGCCCCCTCTAAAAACTCCCCCCCTGGCTATACTGAGGGCCAGTCCTGCCCAGAAGCCCCAGGGCTCCAACTGGTGGCTCTGCTAGGAAGGCGGAAGAGCAGTGAGGGAGGGGAAGGCAGGCCCCTACTGGCAAAGACCGTGACGTTGTCTTGGTAGGCCTGGTTGAGGGTGTAGTTCACGATGCTCTCTTCGTCCGGAAAGCCCTTGAAGATGTCCACGCTGACCTGGGGGAAAGGGGGACCCTTTGAGTTGCAAGGGAGGCACTTTGACACCCCAAAATTAAGTTTCCCCTCACCCAGTGGAGCGACTGTGTGAGAGCGCCAGTCCTGGGAACATGCCCCCCCACCAAAGCCTAGGAACCCCAAGCAAGGGAGGCAGGAAACCCCCTAGAAAGCAATGCCGACTCAAAGAGGGAGGAAACCAACCCCTGCCGGATGTAGCTTGTATTCTTAAGCCATTTGAATCTCAAATCCTTTAAATCATGATTTCACCAAATGGCACCATGCCAAAAATATATTTTAAATCTTTAACGTGTTTTTTTTAAAGTCCTGCCATGCCCTCTCCCAGGACTCCATTCCTGACTCCCCAACCCTGAGATCTCCGCTGCCCAGCTGGAGGTGGAGCCCCGCTTGACCCTTCCCCTTCTGGCCAGGGAGGAGGCCCAGCGAGACCCACCTTGGACATGAACTGGATCCAGCCGCAGGCAGCGTTGTCGATGGTGTCCAGCTGCTGGAGGAGCGTGCTGGTGTTGGAGAGGGACAGGTTGCTCTCCATGAAGTTGTGCAAGAGGCTGCTGTCGGAGACATTCAGGACTTCGGGGTTCTGGTGAAGGTCGGCCGCCATCTGGGGGGCCCAAAGAGAGCGGGGAGTGAGAGCCCCCTCCTCTCTGCCTTCAGGTCCTCTTTGCCGGCCATCTTCCCTGGGTGAGCAGGGGGCTCAAGCCAACCACCCACCCCCCCCATACCTTCTGGAGCCAAGCAATCCGCTGCTGCAACTTGCCCTCCTCCAGGAAGCTGCGGATCTCGGCAGAGATGTTGAGCCAGACCTGGGCGTAGCGCGTCACGTTCCCCACAAAGGCGAAGGTCTCGTTGGCCTGTCGTGCGAGGGGAGGGGGGGGTTAAGCAGGGCGCCCCAAAGACGCTGCAGGTGGGGTACTCAAGGGGAATCTGGGAACGTTTTCCTTTGGGTGCTGAGAACTCTCCCCTGGAATTAAAATAAACCTCTTTGCAATGCGGGGAAAGGTGTGGCAGTGGCCGGAATCTGTGGAGCACCAGGGGGACTCCACCACGATTCCGTTGGTGTCGCTTCTCCTTGGAGTTGGCAGCCGGGCAGCCTCTCCGAAGGTCAACCAGACAACGTGCCAAGGTTGTGTTTGTGTTTCATTTGGAGAGAGGGCGGGTGGCACCCCTGGATGCATTCCCTGAGCAAAGCCTGTTCCTGAGCTCTGCCCACCTTCAAGATGACTTTATCCACCTGGGTGCCGACGGGCGAATACAGGATCTTGGGGTTGCTGGTCATGAGGTGCACCAGGAGTCCCAGGTTGCGCTGCTCCTTGCTGGTGAAGCCCAGAGAGCTCATGTTCCCTTGCCGCAGCGCCTCGGGCTCAATCGTCCTAAGGGGGCAGATGTGGAGGGTAAACGGCACACGCCTGCGCTTCACTGACCCCAGAGCAAAGTGCCCGGGCACAGCCGTCCTGGGATCCTCACCGGTTGTTCCCGCAGAGGATAGGCTGCAGGCCGGCCCAGAGCTGCACAAAGGCCGAGCATTGCCCTTGTGGATCCTCGGCCGGCGCCTCGCTCTCGGCCCTGCCCTCCTCGGAGCTGGAGTTGGTGCCGGAGGTGAAGTTCACAGCTGAGCCGGTGCTGTTGGGGGCGGTGGGGGGCGCTTTTGCAGCACAGGCCCCCTTGGGGAGGAGCTTGGCCAGGGCGGAGAGGATGTCCAGGTCCTTCAGCACCTTCTCCATTTCCATCAGGTCCTCCAGCAGGGCGTGGAGCCGGCTCTGGGCTGTGTGGTTCACCTCGTCCAGCTTCAGCTGCGGGAAGAAAGATCTACTTGCAACCGAGGAAATTCTGCTCCTCGGAAGGTCCTTCGGGTTCAATCAAACCGGGCAGTCCAAGACCATCCCAGCCCTGCACCGGATGCTCAGGTGAGGCTCTTGGGTCAGGAGGAGAGTGAGCGAAGACTGGGGTGCCGCAGAAGAGTCTGCCCTGCCTACCTGTTCAGCCACCTTACGAGCTTCCAGCTGGTCCTTCATCTCCACCACCAGCTGCCTGAAGTAGTCGGCCCGCAGGCTGGCGCTCTGGTTGCAGACACCAGCGCGGTAGGCCTGCAGGAGAGGCTGCTGGCTCTCCGGGATGACCAGGATGCGCCTCAGCGCATCCTGGCCATGGCGACACGTCAGGTTCTCCAGCACAGGGGCGGTGAAGAGGATGTTCTGGGGGGAGGAAGCAGCTGTGGTTACTGAAGAGATGGTCGATGGCCCTGTCATGGGCCGTGATGGCAAAGCAGGGTTGTTGTGGCTGGGAGGCTGGTGGCTGCCCCCTGCCTGCCTTCCCTCTCGCACTGGGAGCAGCAGGCTGGCCATGCCCCTGAACCAGTTCCCCAGCCCCATGGCAGAGCCCCCTCGCCAACCCCCCAGTCAGAGAGTTGGCTTCCCCCACCCTGGCCCCCTCACCTCCACGTCCCTCACAAAGGTCTGGGGGCTGTCGGAGCCAGGGGGCTCTGCCATGGGGCTGGCCAGGCCCAAAGCATGGGAGAAGAGCCGGAGGATGGCCTTCCGCTGGGCGCCTTTGGGGGGGCGGCGGAGCGCTTGCCGGACCAGCCCATCTTCCATCATCTTCAGGTTGCCCAGAAAGCTTTTCTGGGGAGGGGAAAAATGGAGAAGAGGAGTCAGAGACCCTCTCCTGCTTCTCTTTTGCACACAACCTTCCCTGCCTCAGTTCCCACAATTCCCTACCTCTTAGGAAGTCTTTGAAGGGGCAGGCTGGGCTTCTGGACCAAATGGGAACCATTCATTTGCGCCCCCTCCTGAACCAGCCCGAGTCCATCCCTCACCCCAAGCCAAACCTTTGTCCATCTTCCCCCCTTATTCCCCCCCACACCTGCCATGACAAGCAAGATGAGGCGCCAGGAAGTCTCACCTCCGGGTGATGCCGCTTGTCCACTGGGCCAAAGCCATCGGCAGAGCCAGGAGACACGCCAAAGACGAGCCGGTAGACCTACGAAAATAACTGTCAATCTTTGATCCTGGCAACTCCCCCCTCCTCCCCGTTATCTGAAGCCCGATTGTTCCTCCAGGTCTGGGCCTGCAGCTGACTCCCCCCTGCCCCTTGCCCCCTGCTCCTGCCCCGCCAACCTCTCTCAGGTTGATGCTGGACCCTGTGAGCAGCCCCACCGTCTCGTTGGACAAGGAGAGGTTCTGCATGAGGAAGCGGTGAAGCTCCGTCTTGTCCTTGGCCACGGAGTCCAGGGAGAAGCCGGGGGCTGCCAAGGAAGGATAAATGGGGAGGGGGAGATGGGGCGGTGAGCAGGAGCAGGGAGAGAGCCCACCCTCAGGCGGGAAGCAGCTCAGCTTGTCCCCAGAAGCAGCAACCAGACGAGACAAGCAGCTGCATCAGAGGTGGGTTGCTACCGGTTCGCACTGGTAGCAGCAGGCTGGCCATGCCCCCAAACCGGTTCCCCAGACGCTGCTGGGTTTTACTCATTTTTTCACATGCTCAGAACAATTTACACTCAACTGTGCAAGCAGTTTGGCATGCACACAATGCGGACTGACAGCAACGCCGGCAGCAACTCTCCCCTGAGCTGCATCCTGGCCCACAGGGGGAGGACCCCAACCCACCTGCGTTGGTGGTGAAGTGGGTCTCCACGGGGCTGGGCCCGGTGCTGCTGCCAAGAGACTCCATGTGGCGCTGGAGAGACTCCAACTCCTCCTCCGGCCCGGCATGATCCGGGTCAAACAGGTTGCTCTTCTCCACCACCTCGTTCAGCCGCTCCAGCAACTGGGTAACCCTGCAGGAAAGATCCCCGAGGGGGGGGGAGGCATGTATGAAGGGGAGGCATACCCTGAGAGGGGCCCTGACTTCCTTCAGCCCTTTGCACTTGCCAGGGTTGGTGGAGGAAAGAGCCTGAGGTCTGCCCAGCCTTGCTCACCTTTGCTCTCCAGAAAGACTACAAAGCACCAAAAGGAATGGGGAAAAAACCCCACACTTTTCTTCCTGCAAACCATCCTTTGCAACAGAAGACCAGGAATTGGGCATTTGGGGTGTGGAGGGGCTCACCTGGAATTGGAGTACTGCAAGAACCCGAAGTCATCGCGCTGCCCGTCGGGACACAGGGACTGCATGATAGGCAAGATGCCGGCCGAGGTGAGGGGCGCTGCCGTGTAGTAGGCTAGAGGAGGAAGAGCGTGAGAAAAGAGGGGTGGGTGGAAACCTGACAGGGTGTGTAAGAAGATGCACAACCAGTTCAGAGAGCAGTGTGGAAGTCAGATCAGTTTGGAGAAGTCTCTTCCGATTAGCCAGAGGGACGGTTCAGAGGGTTAAAGGTCAGCGGTCCTTCCATCCAATTCCCCCTTCTCCGTGCTTAAGTGTGCCCTGGAGATGTGCTGGGTCATAGGCCCCACGACACTTCACAAGGGGGTATGGGTACTGTAGTCCAGCACCTCAGGAGCATGGAGAAGCCGGTTCTTTGCCCGCAGCCAAGATGGCATCACGTCTGTTCCCAGGCAGAACTCCAAGCCCCTTGCAGCCCCTTCCCAAGCGGAATTTGGAGCCAAAACAAAACCTTCCCCAAAATTACAAATAAATGTCCACTCTGAATTCCAGGATCTCCAATGATTCCAAAAGGTACGGCTTGATCAAATAATTTCACTCTGTAAAAGATTTACTTGAAAGAGTGATTCGTTTCTAAGCAAACACGCATTGAAATCTAATTTTATTTACTCTTCTGTGCTTCAGAGGCATCGGAGATTGTGCAAACTCCTGAGTTGCTGAACCATCCAGAACCTCAGGAACCAGTGACCTTTGACCCACCCTGACCAAAGGCAGATGGCTTTGGCCAATCGGTTAGTCACATCCTAGAGGGCAAGTTAAAAAGACGGGGAGTAGGGAATTAAGCCAGGATCCAACCCTGATCAACTGCAGGGGAAAAAAGGCAGGATTGAGGGGAGAGGGGAGATAAGGAGTAAGCTAGATATAAATCTAGGAGTGGGGGGGATCCCAATGGTGGCAAATAACCTTCTTTTACAGCCTTTTTGAGGAGGGGGCATTTTCGAGGCTTTTGCGATTCCCAAAGCTTTTGGGGAAGAGGCCTTGGCTTCTGAATTTGCATAGGACTTTATACCCCTTCGCCAATCCCCAACAGATTACCTGCCACCATGACCGGGAGGGCTATGAATGTGAGGGGAGATAGGAAAAAGCTGGCATTAAAACAACGTTAGTCAACTAAGGGGTGGGGGTGGGGGCAAAGAGACACCCCCCCCTCTGAAGACATGGCCCCAGCCCAAAGGAAACCAACTTACAGACTAGAAGAAACACAGGTGCAAAAGAAGAAAGAAAGAGGTCAGGTTGCGGGGAATTGAAAAGAAAAATAAGAGTGGGAGGAAGAGAAGAGAAAAAAAAAACATTTCAGAAACAAAAGAAAAAAACAAACCTCAAAGCAAAACGGGGCGGATCATGGCGATGCCTCCGACGGTAGAACTGCCAGCCTGGGCAGCTTCCCACGGGCATGGGGGGGTACTAAAGAAAGGGCTGGGTTATGTGCAGGGGCATTTCCAATGGGCACCTAAAGGCTGCTGCTGATTCCAATGCGGCTTAACAGAGAGTTTGTGACCCTCTGCCTAAATCCCCATCACCAGCGGAGCAGCTGCGACCCTGTGGGAATCTCCTCCCTGCCCACCAGGCCCCTGGGGTTCTTGGGCCCCAAAGCCAGAACCATTGACTGCGGCAGCGGCTCTGGGAAGAGGCTGCCCATCGCATCTCTGCAGGAGTTTCTGCCCCAGGTGGGCGAGCTTCCAGGCAGCTGAGGACACTTTCGGTCCGAAGCAGGGATCGTTTGCTAACTGCAGGGCACGGCATCCCTCGGCTCTGCCTTCCCCGGGGAGGCCTGGTTGCCACTGGTGACAGGCTTCACCTGTGGACTTTGTGCCCGTGGCCATCGGGGAAGACTCACCAATATTACCAGGTTCCTCCCGGCGGCCAGGCACTTACCTTCCTTCACGGCGATGGTGGGCTTTTTCTGCCTCAGCCCCAGCAGGATGAAGAAGAGAACCAGCGGGATGAAGATTTCGAAGGACAGCACCCACTGGAGGGGGGGGGGGAGAAGAGCTTGAATGAGTCAAAGGGCAGGGGGAGACCTCCAGGCAGAGCCCACCGTCCCCGAACCTGGCTGGGAGGCAAACAGAGGGGACACAGACACCCCACCGGAGTCTTTTGTGCCGAAGGAGCAGGCTGGTGAAAACCCCAAAATCCGAGGGTGGCTTAGGATCCCCCAAGTTGCCCTCCTGTTTCCTAGTGGGGGCGGGGGGAGAAATGGATCAGGAGGCAACCTGGGAATGCCAACCAGACCTCCTGACTCACTGACCTAGATTCAGCTCTTCTGGTGGCAACAACCCATGTTTGTTCTGCTTGAATGAGGCTTACTAGTGCAAACCCAGAATGTCGGGCAATTGAGCGTTCAAAGTAGTATGAAAATGGGGAGGGAGGGAGGGAGGGAGGGAGGGAGCACTGCTGTGCAAGATCC